AATTTTTGTGAGAAAAATAAATTCCAGGTGGCTTTTTTTATTAAAAAGGTGATTTTAATAAAAATTTCCCGGCCAGACCCCCAATTGTCAGCCTATGTGATGCCAAGACAAGTGTCTTCTAGCTACACAAGGTGCAAAAACTAAGAGTTTTTATGGTCAAAACTCAGGGACAAAAACTGGTATAAGTAATTCAGAAGAATTACGTGAAATTTATGGATAAAATCCAAAAAGTGGCCAATTTATATTAATAAAATTTAATATAAAATAAACCAGAGGGGCCTGAATGAATTCAAGGGGTGGTTTAATCCCTCTAAGGTATTGTGTAAAAAGCAGAGGATTTAGGTACCTGGAACACTGGGGCCTGTGAAACAGGTGTGGTTTAAATCCCAGGAAAAATTTAAGGGGAAAATCTCAAGAAAAGGGTTATTACTTACTAGTAATAATCCTATGGGGTCTTGAGGATCTTCAAAGTTGAAACTGGACAGTTGGGAGCGCTCAGAAAGGTTGATTTTGGGTGCTGGGTGGTAACTGTGGAGTTTCTTGAGGAATTTTGAGGCTTTAATAACAGCAATAATAGTAGTAACTAGGCTAATTACAAGTGTAGAGGACTTGTAAATGGTAAGTATGTTTCTATATGGTATTGTAAAGCTGGGGGATCATTATTTGGGCGGTCAGAAGGCCCTTTAAGTACCTGTGGAAGGCCTCAGGGGTTGCTCAGGGGAGCTTAGTAGGTCTTGGGAGCGCTTTTGGGCCCATTTTAGCCCACATGGTGACGCAACAAGGGCTGAAACCTTGGGGATAATATTCTAGAAGCTCCAAGGGGCCATGCACGAATTCATTTGAACCAAGAATATCCCTTAGGAACCTGTGGGTAGGGGCTAGTCTGTTACGTGGAGCTATTTCCTTGGAAATGGGCCACAGAATATGCCAGAACTGGTTTCTGAGGCTTATTACACGTGCTACAAAATGGAAGATGGAATATACAGAGTTACTGTAGTATATTCAAGAATATTCTAGCTTGTTTATATTTTTATTACACGTGTGGGGGCTTTGTTGACACGTGCACAGTGAGTTCCTGGGGCTTTGTGGCCCAATTCCTTGGATACTGGTAACCCAGAGGGGGTTATGCATGTATCCAAGGCGGGTAGGCATACCTAGCACGCGCGGGGGCTTGAGCCTGGGGCTCAATTGTAGTCAGGCGCGCCTGTCAACAGTGCGCAGCATGACTACGCGGCGCGCGGGCTTGGAGACAGTACACGCCCACGCTACACTATCTTCTAAACTTTACACAACACTCCAAATCCGTGACAAGATTTGAAGTATATGCATTTGGTTATGTATAATGCATAAGTATCCAGGGCCGTGATCTAAGGTACTGGTTAATTATTCATGGTTGTATTAAAGGGTGAAGGAGTGAGAATTGGGGGTACCTTTGGCTGAGGTACCCTATGTTAAATTGTATGTAGATTTAGAATCTGCAATAATAATTAAAGTTTTCTTCATACTTTCTAAGTTATTTGTATATTTTAAGTGTTTTTGTATTATTTACATAAGTAAAGTAGTTTCTTTTACTTATGTAATATTTTTACTTTATTCTTAGATTTTTTATGTATTTTTATTATTTTATTTTGCTATGACAGGTTGTCTCTGCCATAGTAGCAAGCTGACACAAAGAGTACCAATGAATGCCCTAAAGAGCATGAGCTTATCAAAACCATAAATCAAGATCTCAAAATGAAAACCTTTAAACTGAGTCAATTAGAGGATCAGCTCAAACAAGCTCAAACTCGGTACAAAAAACTAGACCAGGATCACGATACCCAAACAAACAGGAAAACCATGGTAAGTTGGAATTATGTGGCTTGAAGTTAACAGGACATGAATTTTGGTCATTTTTGTCAAACTAGACCGAAAACAAAATCAATGGCGTGCTTCGTGAGTTAAATAAGAAGAGAAAGCAGATTCATGATGTTCAAGTGGAAAGGACCCATCACGCGTTTGTGTTCTCTTTGTTCTCTTCATTGTCCAAATTTTTGTCTTACTGAGCTTCTCTTCTTCTCCTAACCCAATCGGATGGTGGGCCTTGTAGCCAAACCAAAACTGAACTCCAAGAAAAGCTTCAAGATTGTTTGAAAAAGATCAGCCTGGCTGGTGCAGCCCAATGTGAGACCGACTCTGAAATACATATGTGAACCATGATTGAAAAGCTGTGCAGGTTATTCCCATGTATGATTTATCTGCTAGTCAATGTTTGAGCTAGCCTCTGAATCTAACATTTTAGGTGTCAGCGGTTGTTTCCAAGACCTATGCAGCCCCGTAGCAAGAAAGCACAATGTGGCAATTCGAATTGTTTTGGGCCCAAATCTCAACACTGTTGTTGTGGACTCCCAGGATACTACATTTGAATGTGTGGAGGTACCTAGATGATTTAGTATTCCAGGTTCTTAACACCCCACCAAACTGACTTGACCGCCTGATCCAGTATTTGAAAATTGAATGTTTGGGTTTGGCGTCGTTTATTCCTCTTGATACAATAAAAGTCAATCACGTCAACGAACGTCTTAGAAATCTGGCGAGCGGTGACCGGTTGGCTATTTTTGCACATATTATAGAGAAAAAAGAGATTAAGAAAGTAAATAAGTGAATACAATTTCAATCCCTTCTTTCATGAGAAGAGAAAACATGAGATGTAAGAGCACAAGCAGCAGTAAATGGATTCAAAAGCCAGCCTAAAAAATTATGCATTCATATCAACCTCACCTATCAAACCTTGAAGAGCATCACTGGCTGTTAAATGATATGCTTGTTGAGCCTTGATGAGTTGAGCAATAGCCCTAATAGGTTCGGGCTAGAATATCGATTGATTGGGTAAGTGGATTGAGCTGTGGTTGCCACAATTGTTTTTTCAGACGGTACTCATGTCGTCTAAGCTTGCTTCATCAACTTGATTGCTTCTTCCGTAGCTGCTACTAGCTTCTCTTCTGCATTGTCATCTTCTATACGTGCCTGCTCTTTCTTAGGCCCCTCGGGGGAATTATTTTGGGCTAGTCTGGCCGCATCAAATGCCAATCTGATGATAAAAACAAGACAAGACAATAGCATCAGTGGACCTGCTCCTTAAAGGAACATGAATCATCCCTACAAAAATAATATATATCAAATTTTACAATTTGTTTGATATTATGACATACCTAGCACTTCGGACGTTCTGACAACTCTTCATGGCCGCTTGAAGGCCAAGATTGAGGCTTGTTTGCCAGGGCTGTAAGAAGCCAGTTTGGATGGCTCCATCCTGAGCCAAATGTTTGTCGCCAATCCGAGCTTGGACCATCACATAAGATTTAAGGACCTTGGCCATCAGGCTCTTGATACTTCCGTTGGAGGCATCCGCAGCATTATATGGGCCCGTCAAGCCTAGTTCAAGTGCCCCCAAGGTTGCTGCTTGGGAGAGCGCATGTGATAACGTTTTGTGCTCAGTTGGGGCTTTGTCGGGTACTTCAATTGGCGGCAAGTTAGTACCTATTCTAATGATTAGTTTGTAGGGGAGGGGGAGAGGGGTTGTTTCCGACGATTCTGTCAGCCAACATGGATTACGAAAACAAAATAATGCAAAATAAGAGAGGAAGAGAGAGGCAATAGCCCGGTTCACGTAGCTGCTCGTTCCCAAATAAAATTTGTGGGACGAGCAACGCTTAACAACATCTCGTTAAAATTTTGGCGGGGTCTCACGCACAATTTAAGTGAAAAAGTTTAAGCGACGAGCAGTGCGACTTTTCACGCATGTCATAAAAACGCCCTACGTGAACCGGGCTAATAGAGGCGCGACTGGGAAAGGGGGTGTTTCACCTTTGGTCGCGGCAGCAGCCCAACTAGTGACCGGTCTGAGTAATGAAGTTTCTTTTCATGGCCGTGTTGGAGGCCGTACTCAAGCACATGTTAGTTTAGTCGCCATCTATGGCTCAAATGGCACAGTGGGCCATTTAATTTTGGTGTAGATAGTAATCTTTTTGCCTCTTCCTGAGTTTCTCTAGACTTTTTGTGATTGATAGTGCGTACTCCGTACTAAAATGTATTTATCCTATCCAGTCATCGCTTGACAGAACCTTTACGGCAAATATCCTCGTGAGAAAGGTATCCCCGGTGATGTATGTATGGCATTCCTATTCAGCCATCAAGTCGAGCCAATTGATGTCAATCTTTCTCTTAGGCTGGTGGGGAGGTGTTTGAGGTGTTGTAAAGGTAAATGAAGTGTGATCTGTCGTTTCATGGTTTGAGCTGTCTCTGCTGCTGACGTAGCGTGAGGATTTGGTTTGACTCGAAACATCTGGGTGACGCTGCGGGCCGCAGCGACAGCTATTTGTCCGTAGTGTTACCAACTCGGCTATGTCAGATGTAAGAGTCTTTCACCTAAATAGGTTATAACACCAAAGTTTTATGCAAAGCAAATTTTCTGGCTTAATTTATACTTTTGACCCCCCAAGTCATGTGCATTTTGAAATAAATTTTTGACAATTAACTGCATTTTAGCCTGTTTTTTCAACCATCAACCACCTCACCTGTAAAGTGAAAATTGGGCACTTTCAAAAATGTCCATTGGACACTCTCAATCAAGAGTGTCCAATGGATGGTTATTTTTTACCGTCCAGAGGATGGTCTTGACCACCAGGCATCACTTGGATGGTTTCAGAAGCATCCAAGTGATGCTTGGGGCACTGGAGCATCCCTTGGACGTTATGAAAGCATCCAAGGGACGCTCTTGCTCAGAAAACGACCATCGGATGTACAGGTTTTCTAAAAACCTGCCCCGTGGTGTAGTTGGTATGATCAAGATTGATTGATGATGCAGCTGTGCCAGTCAAATGTTGCAAGGTTCGCAGACCACAACTATGTAGTGCAGTCCTCTGACGACTGGTCCTCATCCGACAACACACCTCGAACCGACCATGCATCAGCCCCACCGTTCGTTGCTCCGGAAAGCTTTCCAGATGATACCCCCTCTGGATGGCTCACTACACAAAGGTCAAGCCGGTACGCAGATAAGGTTCTTCTTCATCTTCTTCTTTTGATTTGTGAAGTGAGGGGCGATGACTGATCGATCTTCTTGTTCTCTTCCAGGCCGAATCGGGATCGTCGGTGGCTCCAAAGAGTACGTCCCTCGTTCGCTCCCAATCGCAGCCGATTTCGATTCCACAGGGTGTACCTCGTGGGACGTCGGTTTATGATGAAGTGATAATTGATCACTGAACATGATCTGTCATCGTTATTTCCTTGGATGGTAGTTACACTGGGGCGCCGTTCTACTCAGGCTACGCATCTCTAAGATTAGTTGAGTATTCCCCATTTCCGAAGATTTCACCTCCTGCTAAAGAAGGTCAAAATGTATCTGATTGATGATTGTCGCGATCAGGGCTCCGATCTTTCGCATGTGATTTGTGAACCCAGTGCATCGACGGTCATCAAGACCTATTCCCCCGACCTGATGGTTCACAGTTACTTGAGCTCACCCAAGGAGCCCGAGGCATATGCAAGTCACCAGAACCTATTCGAGCAGCTCTTGGACCGTCTCCATGTCCTCGTCGTCGGCCCTGGTCTCGGCAGAGATACAGAGATGCAAGATTGGGCCGAATGGACACTTAAAACAGCAATCAAAAAGAAACTTCATTTGGTTCTCGATGCAGATGCTCTATGGTTACTAGTCAAAAAGCCGTTTGTTGATTTTTTTTTTTCTTCTTCTTCTCTGATTTCTTGAAGGAAAGTTTTTAGCATCACTGATCCTTATCAAAAATATAGTGATCTTCTCCGCGGCTATCCGAACGCAATCCTCACACCAAACCACGTGGAATTTCAACGATTATTGAAGGCTTGCTCGATAGAACCCCGAGAGAATGATGATGATGGACTACTGGCGATGGAACTCTCCAAGGCTCTAGGAGGGTGCTCGATTCTGCAGAAAGGTTCGATAGACCTGGTGGCTCGGGAAGGCTCAGAAGTGGCGAAAGTCAGCTGCGAGGGCTCTCCCAAACGTTGCGGTGGTCAGGGCGATATTCTGAGTGGCTTAGTGGGGACATGGGTAAGCGTTGCACTCTCATATCTTTATATGGCTCTCCGTGGAAAAGAATCATTCACAGTGATCTTACTGTGTTTGGCCAATCAGTGTGCTTGGACAAAGCTTTACTTCGAACGACAATCACAGGACGAAAAACCCAAGTCGCATGAGCTGCCGATCTCCTCGGAAGAAGCATGGATCATCGCCGCCGTCCTCGGATCGGAAATCACCAGAACTTGCTCTAGATTAGCCTACCATAAGTTGGGCAGATCGATGCAATCGAGCGATATGCTGGGCTATATCGGCGAGGCCTTCGAGCTGGTCATGCACGGCCACACAAAAGATTGAATTTCCTTCTCCTTGTATGTATACCATCTTGTAACATTGATCTCGAAGTTCTAAAGAGCTTGTTGTTGTCAGTATACTATTAGTTAACAAGGTCGTAAGAATGGTCAGTGCCCAGAGTATGATTAACGGCAGACTTATCTAACTTTCTCCAATTGATAATTGGCATCTATCAATCCAAGTTTCAATCACGTGCACCCTGATTCAATACAACATCCATCCAATAATCGGGACATGAAATGTGGGAAGTGGATGAAAAAAAGATCGATTGGAATGTAGCCTATATTAAGAGGATCACCTTCGCAAGTGACAAATTTTGAAGTGCAACATTAATGCCCCAAGACACCCTCAAAATCTTTGGATCATGCACAAAAAATGAAGTAATAATGTGTATGCGTAATCGCAATGGCTTGCCGTGTCCATGTTGCGCATCATTCTTGGGCAGGAAGAAACATTAAGAAGAGTATGAATTCATTGATCCAGATTTCCCTGAGCATCAATTTTTCTATGCTTGATGATCATCAGGTTGGACCACATCGATTTGATCGATGGTAGTTACTTTGTAGACACTGGTAGCTGATGAGGAAGAGGGAACCAAGTACACCACGGGGCCAGTTTTTTGAAACTGGCCCCATCCGCTGGACGCTTTCCTGAAGAGAACGTCCAACGGATGCGATCAGAGCGTCCGAGGGACGCTCTGGCGAGCCAGCATCACTTGGATGCTTCCAAAAGCATCCAAGTGACGCTGGCCAAATATGAAGCGTCCGATGGACGCTATGATCTATCGTCCATCGGACACTCTCCAACCAAGAGTGTCCGATGGATGACGGTTTTCAGTGTGTCCATTGGACACTTTGAGTTACAATTCCTGATTGGAGCCGGTGGTCGATGGTCGAAAAAAGCTTCAAAAGTTCGGTCGATGGTCGAAAAAACACTCTGAAAATGCGGTCGATGGTCGAAAAACACTCCAAAAGTGCGGTTGATCGTCGAAAAACACTCCAACAGTGCAAGTGATGTGATTGTCAAAAAAATGTCTAAAAATGCACTTGATCATGAAAAAAGGCTGTGAAGTGGCTTACTGCAAAGTGCGAATTCGGTCTATCAACAACAGTTTGTGGCTGCTTGACACCACGGACAATTGCATGTCGCTCCCGCGCGGAGCGACATCTGGGGGTTTCATTGGGGGTTTCGTGCGCAGTTACTGCGCCTACTGCCGCAGTCACGCACGCGGATTCGTCAAGGTGACGGTTACATCCGGGGCGACACCCAAATGACCGTGGTGTGAAAGAAAAATTTTGTGTAGTGTAGTCAGTAACACCACGGACAATTGCATGTCGCTCCCGCGCGGAGCGACATCTGGGGGTTTCATTGGGGGTTTCGTGCGCAGTCACTGCGCCTACTGCCGCAGTCACGCACGCGGATTCGTCAAGGTGACGGTTACATCCGCGGCGACACGCAAATGACCGTGGTGTAAGGACAGACTTTGGGGATGTGCAGTGGCACCTCCATGAGCTCATGGGTTCAAAACTGGGTGTGCTCATTTTTTTGTTTTCATTGCCGAAAAAAAAAGCATCCAGTGGACGGCTTGAAAACTATCCAGTGGACAGTTTTCCAGAAAACGTCCGCAAACTGTCAGGCAGAGTAGTGTCCAATGGACACTCTCTGCCCTGCAAGTTCTGGACACCTCAGATGATGTCCAGAAGAGTGTCCATGGGACATCAGAATAGTCCCGTGGTGTATGTAGGCATCTAATTCCTTTTCTCTCCACACCCTCATCCCAGGCTAAGGAGTCTTATGGGTGTGAACTGGGCTCAGCAAAGAAATCCCAGCAGACCAGGGGACGTGGTCTCTTGGCGGGGGACGGGGGTTTCTTCCCGGGGACGCCGACGCGCTGTATTTAACTCCGGTCGCACCCAAGCCAAACCCACCGAGGGCAGTCTCCACCACCAGAAAAACTACCAGACAAAGAAAACCCCAGGGGACATCCGAAACCGGACTTCATATCATGACTGCAAAACTACCGATCCATGTGGCCATTGGTAAGTCTCAAGTTTGTTTTATTCTTGTTGATCATAAGACAATCGATCGGATTTTCTAGAACTGACGATTCTTTGTGTGTGTATGTGTGTATCTGCAGTTGGCGTTGGCTTAGTCGGCGAGCAAGTTGTCCACCAGTTGATGTCGAGCCGATTACGCTCGAGTTTCCAGATCTGTTCCCTCCATACATCACGTCGGCACCTTGAAGTGGCATCCAGCAGTGTGGGAGATAAGACAGCGTCTGAGTTGATCGATGAACTCAAGAAGGAACAATCAGGATCGAAGGCGTATTCGGGAGGGGTTGAAGAAGTCGTGAGCTATCTGGCTGATCCCTCCAAGCTACCTCGGCCGTTACTGGTAGTTGATTGCACCTCGAGCCAACCCTTTGCCGATGCGTATCCTCGCATCCTCGCCAGTCATCAAACCCACCTCGTGACCCCTAACAAGAAGGCGTTCTCAGGAACAGATCAACTGTACTCTGAAATCGAGAAGACCGTCCAGGAAAACGGCAACATGGTCTTCAAGGAGGCCACCGTCGGCGCTGGATTACCGATCATCAGTACCTTGCGCGAGCTAGTGGTCACGGGAGACCAGTTGACCAAGGTCGAGGGGATCTTTAGTGGGACGATGAGCTATATCTTTAACCAATTCAGCCAAACCACTCCGACCTCCACCAGCTTTTCTGAGGTAGTCTCAGTTGCCAAGCAGTTAGGCTACACCGAGCCCAACCCAGCAGACGACCTCAACGGCTCTGACGTCGCCCGAAAGCTCTCCATCCTGGCTCGCAATCTCTCCTCCCCTATCAGTCTACCCTTAGGCTTCGAATCCGTCCCCACGCGTACCTTGATCCCAGAACCTCTCGCAGAAGTCAACGACCCTGTCGAATTCATGTCCACACTCCCTCAATTCGACGCTCAATACGGCAGATTTAGGGACGAGGCTTTCACCAAGGGTGAAGTGATGAGATACGTTGGGATCATCGATTTAACGGACCCCAGTAAACCACTCGTCAAGGCTGGATTAGAGAGGTTAGTGAAAAAAATAAAAAATAAACTACTAGTTTTCAGAAGCGGACAAGACGCTTCCTGTCCTACATGCTTGGGCGAATACAAAGCTGATTGCAGATCTTCGTTTTGATCTTAAGATATCCTTTCAATCATCCGTTTGCTACGATGAAAGGCTCAGATAACATCATCTCATTCCATTCCAAACGATATGCCTCCAGTCCATTGATCGTCCAAGGCTCCGGAGCAGGAGCCGAAGTGACAGCCATGGGCGTCGTCGGCGACATGATCAAGGTGGTCGAACGGCTCATCGGCCGCAACATCAACTAATGCCCCTTATCTATCTATGCTCTGATGACATCTCTTTTTCTACCTTCTTCTTCTTTCTCAAAACACAAGCATCCATCTGTCTCTGCTCTCATACCACTCATGCCTTTCATATATTCTCATCTTCATCCGTTACGTTAAACTTTTATGGATGCATGATTTTAACATGCTAATTACCAAAAAAAAAAAAACACTTGAATGAAAATCAACCCATCATGTCAGTATCATAACATATTAATTCAACCCGTAATTTAGGTTGAGATTTACCAGAAGTAAGAAGGAGATTAAATTCAGGTGTTAAATCAACTTGGATTAGGATCTTTTGTGAGAATTGGAGAATTATGTGAAGAAAAAACAACACATAAATACATGAATAGTGTTGGGCTGAATAAGAAAGAAGAGAAGCATATGTTAATGGGAGCACATGGACTTGAATGAGTTCGGTGACCCCAACAAACACTTTGTACCCACCCACCCCATTATTGCTGAGTTTTCCCACTGGTTTTTTAATCCACAAACACACTGATCACACTCACTCACACAGTTTAACAGATAGATGGAAGTAGCTGCACTCCTTGAACGCACACGGGACGAGCCAAGTGGAGAGAAAGCTTGAATTGTATGTATCCATATTACATCTTAATAGTTTCGATCAGCTGGATTCCTTTGATTTTGTTGAGATCGAAGACCAATCTGTCTGTCTCTGAAGAAGCAAAGCACACCAACTAGAAAAGCTCATTCGAACATATACTCGGGCTCAAGAGACTACATAGATCACTGGAAGGATGCCACAAGAATTACTGAGGTTTCCGACGAGTTACTTGACGGTAGGGATCTATCGATTGGGTACGGATCCGAAGATCAACCGAGCGATCGTGCAAGAGTTCTCGACGATTGTGAAGAGATTGGTGATACTCTCGATAGTCTACTGTGCTCTCTCATATCCGGTGACGAAGGTCTGGGTGAAGTATTTCCTACTGAGCAAGCGAGCCAAGCCGGCGGATCAGGACGAAGTAGCAGAGACGGTGGGCATGATCGGAGCCATGTTCTCCCTCGTCAACTTCACCACCATCAGTCTCGTCCTCAGCCAACTCAGCTCGATCATCGAATTCTTCCTCCTCAGGAAACTCAAGAAAACCAGAGCTAAGGTCTACCAATTCACCATCGAGAGTCGGGCCAAGTCCGAGCAGTTCTGGATCCCCTACGTCGAGGAATGGGATCATCCTCCTCTCGAGAAGGCTCAGCGAAGGATCTCCAAGTGGAAGTGGTACAAGACTATCACCGGACCGATCTTTAGATTGCTTGTCCTCAAAGGTCAGTCCTACTACACCCCCTTCTGTCGAGCACCATAAAACATGAAAGAAAGAAAGAAAGAAAGAAAGAAAGAAAACGAAAAGTTGATGATGATGATGATCATCGATCGTTCTCTGCTCCAGTCGTCTTATTACCACTCAACTTCGTCCCGTTTCTGAACACGATCGTCGGCTCATTTCTGGTCTCCTTGACGCTATCGGAAAGACTGCTGGAGCCCTACTTCAAGACGAAGAAGATGAGTGAGGTCGAGCAGGCTCTGTTCATGGTCGAGCGAGAGAACTCGTTGCGATGGCTCGGGTTCTTCGCCGCCGTGCTCGAACGGATCCCGATCCTTGGGATCCTCTTCTCCTTCTCAAATCGGATCGCCTTCGCTATGTTCGCTCATGACCTCGAGAAACATCAACATGCCGTCAAACAGGGCCTTATCCCCAAACAACCTGACCCCTATCGCTCCAAGACTGCCGCTATCGAATTGGATTTACCGTCTGATGCAATCGGAAATTTCCCCAAGAAGAATCTATAATCTTCTTTCTTTTCCCTATCTCTCTCTCTTTGTAATCTTTTTGAATTGATTGGTTCTTAGACACTGAATATGACTCACTGTTTTTCCGTAATTATACTAAATGTTTGTATGTGTGCACAGCTCTTGAATTCTTGTCTATAATCAATACTATGAAATCACTCCATGCATGTGTTTATACAGTCGATCTTCTGAATTATAAGTACATAGAACCAAAAAAAAAAAAGATAGTCAAAACAGGTGGTAATGATGTCAACATGTAAATCGTCTACCGCCCATGACCCCCCCCCCCGATAAATAATTAGTAGAATGACAGTAAGCACATCGGATGGGTAGAGTGAGGTGTAGGGGGCAGAAGGGAAATTATAAATACCAAGAAAAAAAAAAGATGAGATGTGCGGCACAACGAAGACAAAAGTTGAAGAAAAAAAAACACATGTACGTGGGTTATAACATCATTGGGTCGAGAGGGAAGTTGTTCTAGAGAATGTTCGGGCTGATTGGGGTTGGAGAACGGGGGATGCGAAGCGGCCAATCTGAGGGAATGGGGTGCCTGTGAGGAGGTGAGGAAGGCCGGATGGGACTGAGCTCGAGAGAACTGGTCAGAGGAAGATGAGTGCTGTGTCGGTGTGTTTGTGTAGGAGCAAGAGGGCTGGTTGCAGGGCGCATTGACCAAGGTCGAAAGAGGACGACAGACGACGATATAAGCGGTTGCGAAGGGGCGACTTTTGGTAGGGTTGGTCTGAAGTCCATGATGACATGTGTGTGTTTTGAGAGGAGCTTCTCTATGCAGATCCTTTGGAGAAAGGATCGGGATATGCTGTGATCGGAGGGCGAGTGTGGTCATCTGAACAGCCGGTAGAGAACAAATAGACCAATCACCGAGCCCACACTGTAGATGATCACTCTCCGTTGCGAGGAGCCCGCGGAGATCGTCCGACTGAATCGATTGGCTGAATCGGATAATTGTGATGTAAACGAATCAAATTGTTCGCCCTTTTTTTTGTCGTCGTCGTTGTTGTTTTCGATTCGATTCATTGTAGTTCATTCGGCAGAATCAGTCATTAGTTATCATCCGTTTTTTTTGGTAATATGATGGGGTTGAAATTTGATGTTAAGTGGTGCGGCATAGATGGAATCCTTACGGTTTGGTTGAGCAATCGGTTTTGGGATAACGAGTCAGAATGTATATCGATGGTAACCTAAATCAAATCATCAAAATCAATAAGTATCAATGGCTCCTTAAGTAAAAGCATAAAGAAAGAAAGGAACTGGAAAGGATCAGACGACATACGTTCTTGATCGAGTTTATTTTAGAATAAAGTGATTCGAGTCGTTCGTCATTCTGTTGTTCCATAGTTTCTCAGCTAGGATGTGTCCTAATTTTTTTTTTTTCGGATGTATCGGCCTTCGCCCACTTGCTGATGGCTTTCGTTCTTAGTTCTCCTTGACGATTTGATAGTTGGCTGTCGCTGAGTTTTCTGCAATGTTGTTCAACTCTGAAGGTCTTTGGAGGCATTGAGTGGTCTCGGGTGTGCCGGTTAGTGAGTGGTACATACCCACCGGG